TTTACAGCCTTGGAAACCCTGTACAGGTTTGCTATGGGTCAGAACCAACTTGACAACAACAACAACAACATTATTGTTGTTAAATGACATCAAGTCGGTTCCAACTCTTAGACTCAACCTAGGGTTTCCAAGGAGCAGTGGTAGTTTTGAACTACAGACCACTGCAAATACCATGGCTTGGGTCTGGTGCACCTTAGTCTTCAAATTCACATCTTTGCACTTTAACACTTATAAGAGATCTTTTGCAGCAGATTTGTCTAATGCAATATGTCATTTGAATTCTTGACTGCTGTTTCCATGAGTGTTTATTGTGGATTCAAGCAAAACGAAGTCTTTGACAACTTCAGTCTTTTCTCCCTTTATCATGATGTTATTTGCTGTTCCAGTGGTGAGGATTTTTGTTTTCCTACATTGAGATGTAATTCGTACTGAACACTGTAGTCTTTAATCTTCATCAGAAAGTATTTTAAGTCCTCTTCTTTCCAGCCAGCAAGATTGTATCAGCTACATATCTCAGTGTTAGTGATTCTTCCTCCAATCCTGATGCCACATTCTTCATATAATCCAGCTTTTCTGATTATTTGTTCAGCGTACAGATTGAATAAGTATGGTGAAAGGATACAACCCTGGTGCACACCTTTCCTCAATTTTCAGTACTATAGCTAGCAGTATTCCACTACTATTCATAATGTTTTCATCTTCTGGGACTATATCTGACAACTTTCCACTGATATTCATAAGGTTCCCAGTGGCAAACCATCCAGAAGTAGTCTGTCTCTCCTTGTTCCTAGTCTTTATAAGTCTGGAAGCTCCTCTGAAACCTGCCCACCATTGGTGACCCTGCTTGTATATAAAATACCAGTGGCATAGCTTCCAGAATCACAGCAACTTGCAAGCCACCATAGTACAACAAACTGACAGATGATTGATGGCATATAGATGATAATGTATTTCTATAATTAAATATCAAGCTGACATTTAAAAAGATGCAGTAGAAGTGTATTTTTTTTACACTTCTACAGATTACCCAATAAGCAAGGTAAGCACTGACTTACTTGTGCTTAGTTTCTAGTCTGTAGAGAACAATTTCATGTGATGCATGAAATTCAACCAAATAATGTTGGATATCCATATCACATCAGGTTTTTTGCTGTCTTTCACTACCTCTTATGTAGTAGGACAGCTGTCACAAATGCAGAGTTATAAATAATAATTGGTATGTTGAGAGGACTCCTGGTGTGGTGCTGTTGGATAAGCACTAGATTGCTAACCACAAGGTCAGTGGTTCAAAACCACCAGCTGCTCCTTGGAAATCCTCTACAGAGTCGCTATGAGTCAGAACTGACTCAATAGCACTTACTTAACATGTTGAGAGAATGTTGAATTTTCATAGATCCTGTAAGGGAACTAGACCATATTTCTTCCATAGAGATCTATAATTATAGTAGCTTTAAAAGGATTTATAGCTACAGAAGAGAAATCTCCCTAGAAGCATACCTAAAGAGCCAGGTTTGACAGCTAACTCAGAAAAAAACCTCTTCTTGTTTTCAATGAAAATGGTAACTGTAGAATTGAAGCTCCAGATAAGCTGAGAATTGATACCAATCCTCCAAATGGAGTGTTCTGGCTAATCAAATGGTTCTGGTGGAGAAGTCACCAGATGGATTGCACTTGTCCGCTTGTCAAACTCAGATCATTCTTTGGAACTCTGCTCAGAAGAATCATATATAATCATATAATCATATGATTGCCTTCCTTGGAAAAAGTTAACCATTTCTTCTTTTATACCAAATTCACAAAAAAACCTCATATGCACTTCTGTCATGAAACATGAGTATGGTTATGTGTTACTATTCTTTACTCGATCAGAACCTAATCAGGTATAGAGGGTGTGACTTAGCTCTACAGTTCCATCACCTGGTTCAGTGCATTAATCCAAATCTATATATGAGCTCTGGTAGCGTAGTGGTTACGAATCGGGCTGCGAACCTTAAGGTCTG